TTTTTAACTTTTAATCCAAGTCACAAACAAGACAACCCACGCTGTGACACAGTTTCATCACTTTATTACAGTAAATGAGTCCATATCGTACGCACACAGAACAGAGACAGACTTGTTTGTTTCTCTCTCCCTCTCCCTCCAGCACTCAAGCTCAGTGGTCTACGGGCCAGAGTGACACTAAAGTAAACAGATTAAATAAAAAATTAACAGATGTGATTTTTGTTTTTTTAAAGGAGGTAATATTAACATCTGAGTTTTCAGAGAATTTAAGAACAATTTCTGAGATTCAGACTTCATGAAACTGTCAGTAATGTACATCCACACACACCTGATAGGTCTGTCGTAACACAGGCGCCCATGTCCACCCTGTTGTGATCGTTAGCAGCGATTCTGAATGCCACACAGCGCATAAACACAAAAATGCCCACATGTTGAGTACAAGCTGGACTCTAACCCAACTAAACACCTGTGAGATCGCTCGACACTTTTCCTCTCGATACTGCACAGTAATCATATTTTGCAAACTGTCACAAGCAAAAAGAGTTCTGTTCCAAAATGAGAATTAATGAGACGCTCGCTCTGATCCCGAGGCGTCAGTTAAGACTGCATTGTCAAACCTGCTGGCATCTGTGTTGTGATGCTCTGAGTAAAAAGCACGAAAAATTTCCGAAACCATAACCAAGCAGTTTATAAACGCATAGATTGAGGCAAGTGGAAGTCAAAAGTGAAAACCTGTTAATCCTGGAAAGTCACCAACACTCCTCCAAGCTCCTTATGACGATGACAACTGGAGCTGTGGTTAAGCCTCAGAGCGCCAACACTGAAGGACACATTTCGTATAATGGGGGAGACACAGAGGCACCTAATAAAGCACCATCATATAACTCAGTAGGACATGTAAATCTCAGGTGCTTTTTAAACCTGCTCCACTTACAAGGCAAGAAATACAGGAAGTACAACCACACATAAAAATAATCAAAAAACACTAAAGAGCTTTATGAACTCTGATAAAAGTTCTTAACTGGAGCTGGAGAAGCTAAGAGTTAACTTTCAACTTTATGCCACAGACTGTAAATAAATGATGGACATAACTCCTGTCAGGTCACCCGTTGGTTAGTGAGGTCATGTTATAAAGCCCCATAGCAGATATTTTCACTGTCGCCATCTTAGCTTTCTGTAACGAGACATCATAGTGAGGGGGTAGACCCGACTGTGAAATGAAAGAAAAGCAAGATCGCAACTTGTTAACCAATAAGCACCATGTTCAGAGACTTGCAGTAACAACAGACAAGTGGGCGTGTCCAAAAACAAACTACACTTCAAGACGAGTGATTGAAGCGACTGAAACGAAGGATACCAATGATTGACGTATGAAGAGGTGATAAATACACTGATGGGTCATCTAAGCATCTAACCTTGGCTTCGCTTT